CCACCAACTCCACCATCTCCACCGTCTCCAAATCACATCTTCACCATCTCCACATCCCCTTTCGGCCCCCAAAGAAGAAAAGACCATTATGTGGGCGGCGGAGGGCCGCAGGGCTCCCACGGGCCGGACCGCGCCCCTCCGCCGGCCCCCACCGCGCCCTCCTCCCGGGGGAGGGGGCAGGCCCGCGAGCGTCCACATCCTGCCTCGGGGCCGCGGCTCCCAGCGCCGAGGGGTGGACGTGATATTTCAAACATCAGATCCGTGCGTTTATATATTGGGTGCCCGGAAATTTTTCCAAATAAACACAGCTTGATTCGACTTGGGTGGGCGGACTTATCAACAGACTAATGCTATAAACAAATGAGGGAATAGCCCCGAAACCGATTGGTGGGCATCGGCGAGCCACGTGGAGGGGAAGCGCGAGGAGTCCTCGGCGCGGGCCCGAGTGGCTGTGGGTGGGCCGCGAGCGGCGGCTGTTTTATCGGAGACGGTTTACTTTCCGGCGCGAGGTCAACATATAACTGCAAACGCGCGGCCCTCCTTGCCCGGCTCCGGAGCCATGCGGCGCGCGGGCCGCGGCGCGCGGCGGGCTCCCGGCGAGGGCGCGTGCGGCGCGGCCCGCAGCCCCTAGCCCCGCGGCGGGCCGCGCGCGCGGGGCGCCCCGGGCGCTCGCCATGAGCCACCCGTTCGGGCCCCGGCCGGCCGCGCTGGCCGCCGCGCCCCTGCTCTACCTGTACGGCCCCGAGCGGGCCGCGCTGCCCCTGGCCTTCGCCCGCGCCGAGCCCCCGCAGAAGCCGCCCTACAGCTACATCGCGCTCATCGCCATGGCCATCCAGCACGCGCCCGGGCAGAGGGTCACGCTGAGCGGCATCTACCGCTTCATCATGGAGCGCTTCCCCTTCTACCGCGAGAACCGGCAGGGCTGGCAGAACAGCATCCGCCACAACCTCTCGCTCAACGAGTGCTTCGTCAAGGTGCCGCGCGAGAAGGGCCGGCCGGGCAAGGGCAGCTACTGGACGCTGGACCCGCGCTGCGCCGACTTGTTCGAGAACGGCAACTACCGGCGCCGCATGCGGAGGCCCAGGCCGGGCCGCGCCGAGCCGCAGCCGGGGAGCGCGCGGGGCGCTGGGGCACAGCCGGAGCCCGAGCCGGCCCGCGCCGCGCGGCTCCCCGGGCCCGCGCGCCCCCGGACCCGCCCGGAAGGCCCCCGGAGCCCGACGCCCCTCCTCGGGTCGGACCCGGAGCCCCGCGCGGGGGCTGCGGCTGGGGAGGTCCGCGCACCGGCGCGTCCCGTGTCCCCTCTGCGCCCCGACTCCCGCAGCTCCCCCAAGACCTGCGACAAGTCCACGAGCTTCAGCATCGACAGCATCCTGTCCGGGAGGCAGGGCCAGAAGCCGACCGGCCCCGGTGAGGCCTTGGGGGACTCCAA